ATTATTCTTTATGTTCAATGTCCTCAGAACACCATTCATATTCTTTATGTTCAATGTCCTCAGAACAATAGTATCATTCTTTATGTTCAATGTCCTCAAAACACCATTCATATTCTTCATGTTCAATGTCATCAGAACACCATTCATATTCTTCATGTTCAATGTGCTCAGAATAATAGTATTAGTCTTTATGTTCAATGTCCTCAGAACAATAGTATTATTCTTTATGTTCAATGTCCTCAGAACACCATTCATATTCTTTATGTTCAATGTCCTCAGAACACCATTCATATTCTTTATGTTCAATGTCCTCAGAACACCATTCATATTCTTTATGTTCAATGTCCTCAGAACAATAGTATTATTCTTTATGTTCAATGTCCTCAGAACAATAGTATCATTCTTTATGTTCAATGTCCTCAGAACACCATTTATATTCTGTATGTTCAATGTCCTCAGAACAATAGTATCATTCTTTATGTTCAATGTCCTCAGAACACTAGTGTTATTTATGATGTTCAATGTCCTCAGAACAATAGTGTTATTTATGATGTTCAATGTCCTCAGAACACCATTCATATTCTTTATGTTCAATATCCTCAGAACACCATTCATATTCTTTATGTTCAATGTCCTCAGAACACCATTCATATTCTTCATGTTCAATGTGCTCAGAATAATAGTATTAGTCTTTATGTTCAATGTCCTCAGAACAATAGTATCATTCTTTATGTTCAATGTCCTCAGAACACCATTCATATTCTTCATGTCAATGATGTGTCTTCATGTCAATGTTTTGTCTGAAATCATGGTTCAGTTATGTGCCCTCAATATTTTTTCAAAATCAACAAGTACATACATATATTGATTTTATTAAATAAAAGTTGTTTTATAGTTTCATATTTCAAGATAAAATTTCCACCATGCAGATCAATAAATAAGTGTTTGTGCTATCACAAGAGCAGCCACTGTATTTCAGCACACAAGTTTTTTTTGGAAACCATAACTTTCGAATTAGCATTGATATATCAATAACACAGCACAATACCAACACAACAGAGTAGGATGTGTTTCATTCAGACTGTTGAAATATCAACTTGACATATCCTTGTTCTCCTGCGAGGGGTGTAGCACAGAATGGACAGGTAGCCTGGAAACCATGTGTTCCATGAGGTAATGGCACTTGTGACCAAAACCTAGACAAAGTGAAAAAAAAAATATCACACAATCAAATGTGAATTGTAATAAGATGGCAAAAATAGTCATGTGAATGCTAAAGTTTATATCTGTAAGTTTGACTGCCCAGACCCCAGAAGTATGAGAAACAAGCCCTCTTGTGGTTGGTAGAGCTCCACTGTAATTGACAAGTGCAGAGGGTAGTGGCAGCAATAATCATATTATTCAAATACATCTATCTCCAAAATGTGATCCTGAGATGCCCTTGACCTTTCCTTGAAAGATCTCCACTGAGGGTGACCACTTGACTTCAATACACATGCAATCAATATGTGACCTTGAGATGACCCTAACCTGGGGCCTTGAGATGACCCTGACCTGTCCTTGAAGATTTTGGGAAGGTGTTTTAGTCCTTCCCATCCTCACTGATCAGTATCACCTAAATAAAAGCAGCAAACGTATAAACCTTGAAATAATCTTGAATTTCAAAGCAATGTGGCAGTCGGTTTTGGAAAAAAAATAAATAAAAAAAAAGCACGAAAAATAGACACTTGCATATGATGCCATGAAAATACTAAGTCTGAGTGAAATGCATGTCAACAACATTCATGCCAAATTTCAAAGCTATATGCCAAGTAATTGTGAAAAAAAATCATTTTTAACCATAAATGACAAAAATATTCCCAAATATGATGTCATGAAATGAACAAATTGGACAGAGGACAATCCCAGGTAAGTGTGGTATGAATAGCAAGGCAATCCTGTTGACAGTTTTGGAGAAGAAGTAGTTTGAATGAAAAAAGTTGACGTACAACGGACAGATGACAGGTGTGGTCAACCATTAGTTCCGCTTGGTCATTTTGATGACAGCGGAGCTAATAAAAGCAATTCTGGATTTTCTTAATTTCAAGATGGCCACAAAACCATTTGACCAATCACAAATTTGAGTATCAGGTTGCCAAAAAAATCTTTGAATGTTATTAATAATAAAACTGAAATGAGCCAGCCATTTCAAATCAAACATGAAACAAAATACATGATGTATAATGTAGTTGTAAAGTTTTATTGTGATCAGATATGCACAATGGCTGCCAGTTGGCCATTTTCAATCAGATCAGAAAACAAAATTTATAAATATCCATTATTTTTAATGTATCTACCAAGCTTAATGAATCGTGAAACAAATTGATGTGCATATTTATCCCAAGATGTATGTGTCAAGTTTGAATTTGATTGACCCAGGCCCAGATTGAATTTGATTGACCCTATCTGAGATAGAGATGTGCACGCACTAATGAACACACAGATGTTAAGTCTCTGGGTTGCCAAGAGATACTGTACAGGTGTTAACCCCAAATTATGTCCGACAGTTGCATCTGCAATTACATAGTTTGACACACTTACCGTGCTGTCTTCTCTGAGGCTACATGTCCGCATGGACAAAATGCATGTGTAGGTGGACCTGAATCTACATAAAAACTTGGTTCATTACCCATCACTACAGGAATATAGGGACCAACCTGAAAAGATAAAGAATACACTACTCACATTTTCCACAACTACATCTGTATAACTGAAGATTATCCATTGTAAGTTGAAGTTTACAACTAACATCTTGGCATAGTTAAACTTTGATGTAAGGTCCAGGGTGTTGATTTAAATGGTTCAAACACTGAATACAATTGTACATTTTTTAAAAATATTGGAATTCCTTGAAAATAGGCAGTCATAGGAAATTCAGGGACTTGTCAGTTCACCATATCTAAATATGGCACATATATGAACTAACTGACAGAGTCCACATAGTGCAATATTAAACAGCATTTTGCAATGTACAGTCCCTAGTGTGTATTTCATGGTAAACACTACAAGCATATAAAATTCTGTTGTTTGTTATAAAGTGAATAATAAGAGACGTTTTGGTGTGTAACATAAAATATAACAGCAGAGTGAAAACCTGCATCTCATGGTATTTTTCACTGTGTGTTAACAACAAATTATTGGTATGAAAAATCATATTCATAATCATTGTGACTCATAAAGTGGCCAAAACACATAATTTATTTGTGTTCAATCTGAAAATGTGATGTGTGTTAATGTGTGTTTAGAACAAAAATGGCCCCCAGTTGGCCATCTTTGAGCAAATCACAAAATCACTGCACATGCATATGTATCAGATATCAAGTATGTGTGAGGTTTCAAGAGCATTGGTCCAGGAGTGTCTGAAATAGAACATTCAAGGTCTGGTAACACCTGCCTCTTCACCTCTGCTTGGTGTGTATCTTCATATCAAACCACCACCTCGCCAAACGAGTACTTGTCCACATTGAGAGATATTGCTTTGGAACAGCATTAATTAAAACAAAATCAGCCATTTTGAATACATGTATATATTTATGACATGAAGTATAATGAATATTAAAAATTTGAATATAATCAGTTAAAGCATGTCAGAGATGGCTCTAGAAGCCCATTCATTAAAACAAAATGGTCGCCAGTCAGCCATTTTGAATCCGATCTGAAAAATAAAATGATGTGCATCAAGGTCCTATAATGTCCAATGTGTATACCAAGTTTGAACAAAGTCTATCTGTAAACAGCCGAGAAATGCTTAATTATGATGATTTTCAGTACAAAAATGGTTACCATTCGGCCATCTTGAATCAGATCGTGAAACAAATTAACGTGCATATGTATAATGTAATGTATGATGTATGTGTGAAGTTTGATTGTGATTGGTCCAGGCATTTCTAAATGCAGTTCCAGATGCACGAACGAACACACGGAGGTCAAAACATAAGTGTGAGTCCAAATGGGGACTAAAAATCATATGGTGAAACTGAACACGGTAAAAAAAAATAATTTAAAATGATAAAATACACAAATTACAGCACCCAAATGCTCTTTTATGGTTGTTTTTGAAGTGCGATTAATAATTCACATAACTCCCGGTGAGCAACATTGGATATTCTAACAACAAGTTGGAAGTCACTTATAATGTCATCACTTAATGGTGAAACCATCAAATTTGTTTGCATACAATGTTTACACACTTACTTGGCATAGCTTAAAACACTGTAATGTTGTCTTATATACTTACTTCACGACAAAGTGGACATGTCCTGTTCAAATCTTCTTTATCATTTGAACTTTGTTTTCCAACCCACCCATGGTAACCATGAACATGACCACATTTCAAATAAACATAAGGTTGTTTATCATCTGCCTCCTGAAATTTGGAAAAAACAACTGATAAAATCATGGTAGTAGGTTGATGATATTAAACAGAACTGAAGGAATCATGGTAGTGGGTTGATGATATTAAACAGAACTGATAAAATCATGGTAGTGGGTTGATGATATTAAACAGAACTGATAAAATCATGGTAGTGGGTTGATGATATTAAACAGAACTGAAGGAATCATGATAGTGGGTTGATGATATTAAACAGAACTGAAGGAATCATGGTAGTGGGTTGATGATATTAAACAGAACTGAAGGAATCATGATAGTGGGT